AGGGTACATGGCTGGAGAGGGGACACAGCTGGGGGAGGGGACACAGCCGGGAGAGGGGACACGGCCGGGGGAGGGGACGATGGCCAGTTGGAGCTGCTCCCCTGGGCCTTGCCATCGCCAGATTTCGTTCCAGACCACTCCCATTCTGTTCCCGACTGTTCCCATTCCTGTTCCTGACCGTTCCTGTCCCCATCCCGTCCCTGTTTCTGTCTCCATTCCCATTCCCATTCATGCCTGTTCCTGCTCCTGATTGTTCCCATTCCCATGCCCAATGGTTCCCATTTCCATCCCCATCCCTGTTTCCGTCCCTGTTTCTATCCCCGTTCCCATCCCCATCCCCATTTCCATTCCCATCCCTGTCCCCGTTCCCATCCCCATTCCCAATGATCCCCATCCCTGTTCCTGTCCCCATCCCTGTTTCCGTTCCCATCCCTGTCCCCGTTCCCATCCCCATCCCCATCCCTGTTCCCGTCCCTGTCCCCGTTTCCATCCCCATTCCCGATAATCCCTATCCCTGTTCCCGTCCCTGTCCCCATTTCCCTCCCCATTCCCGATGATCCCCATCCCTGTTCCCGTTCCTGTCCGCATTTCCATCCCCATTCCTGATGATCCCCATCCCTGTTCCTGTCCTTGTCCGCATTTCCATCCCCATCCCAGTGTCCGTTTCCATCCCTGTCCCCGTTTCCATCCCCGTCCCTATTCCATTCCCGTTCCCGATGGTTCCCATCCCTGTCCCCATTTCCATCCCCATCCCTGTTCCATTCCCGTTCCCGATGGTTCCCGTTCCCGTTTCCATTTCCATCCCTGTCCCTGTTCCATTCCCGTTCCCAATGGTTCCCATCCCTGTCCCCATTTCCATCCCCGTCCCTGTTCCATTCCCGTTCCCAATGGTTCCCATCCCTGTCCCCATTTCCATCCCCATCCCTGTTCCATTCCCGTTCCCGATGGTTCCCGTTCCCGTTTCCGATCATCCCGGTGTTTCCCGGCAGGCGATGACCTGCTGACGGCACTGAGCGTGGCGCGGGGGTGCCGCATGCTGGAGCCCGGCGAGGCCGTGATCGCGGTGACGGCGGCGCCGCCCGGGCGTGACAAACCCGCAGCGCTGAGCTTCGGCCANCCTCGGACACTCCTGGGGATCCCAAAGCTGCTCTGGGAATTCCATCCCAGGCCATCCCAGGGTGGGGGTTTTTCCCGGTGTCTGAGGGGTGGGGTCTCTCCAGTCCAGCTGTCCCCACAGTCCTGGTGATCTCAGAATCCCACCACTGTTTGGGTTGGTTTCCCTGGATCTACTTTTTCCCTGGCACTGTTTTCCTTGGATCTGTTGTTTCCCTGGGAGGCGTTGTTTTCCGGGGAGCAGTTTTCCCTGGATCTGGTTTTTCCTGGAGCAGTTTTTCCTGGATCCATTTTTTTCCCTGGATCCATTGTTTTCCCAGAATCCATTGTTTTTCCCAGATCCGTTGTTTCCCTGGCACTGTTTTTCCCCTGGATCCATTGTTTTCCTGGAAGTCATTGTTTCCCTGGATCTGTTGTTTTTTCCCTGGATCCATGGTTTCACCAGATCCATTGTTTTCCTGGGATCCGTTGTTTTTCCCTGGATCCGTCATTTCCCAGGATCTGTTATTTTCCCGGATCTGATGTTTCCCTGTCACTGTTTTTCCCAGGATCTGTTTTTTCCCTGGATCCGTTGTTTCCCCCGGATCTGTTCTTTCTCCAGATCTGTTTTTTTTTTTTTTCCCCTGGATCTGTTTTTCCCTGGATCCATTGATTCCTTAGATTTGTTTCTCCCCAGATCCATTGTTTCCCTGGATCAGTTGATTTCTCTGGATCCATTGATTTCTCTGGATCTGTTTTTCCCTGGATCTGTTGTTTCCCTGTCATTGTTTTTTCCCTTGATCCATTGTTTCCCTGAATCTGTTATTTTCCCTGGATCCGTTGTTTCCCTGGTTCTGTCATTTTCCCAGATCTACCATTTCCCTTTTTTTTTGTTTTTCCCTGAGCTGTTTATTCCCCGTATCTGTTGTTTCCCCAGATCCGTTGTTTCCCTGGTTCCATTTTTCCCTGGATCTGTTTTCCTGGGATCTATTATTTCTCTCAGATCTGTTGTTTTCCCTGGACCTGTTTTCCCCCGGATCCATTATTTTCCCCCAATCTGTTTTCCCCCGGATCCGTCTTTTTCCCCGGATCTGTTTTTTCCCCCGATCTGTTTTCCCCGGATCCGTTGTTTCCCCTGATCTGTTTTCCCTCAGATCTGTTGTTTTCCCCGGATCTGTTTTTTCCCCGATCTGTTTATCCCCGGATCCATTATTTTCCCCCAATCTGTTTTCCCCCGGATCCGTTGTTTTCCCCGAATCTTTTTTCCCCCCCC